ACCCTCTTTTCCAAGAGGAACGTTATAGAGAGATCTAACTATAAAATAAAACGGAAAAAAAATAATTATGAAATGAAAATTGTATACCTTCTATATTCAATGCCCACATTACCAAGTGATAATAGAGAAGCAGCAGCATCTTTTGTTTGGGCCATACGTGAAAAAGCCCGTTGGCTTAAAATAAAATCTGTGCTATCACTTGCTCCATGATCAGTAATTACCACTTTAACTCCATTTTCTGAACAGTAATTACTGTTTGTACACCTCACCTACATTTTACGGTCAACGATGATTTCAGAATTTGAAGTTTATAGATAGACGATGAATTTAACTGATATACAATGATATCGAATTTTAAGGTTAGGGTTATAGTTAGTTGAAGTTGAGTTATGTAAGTATCAAATCATGTATAAGTACTAAGTATAACTACGTTTAATAGTTGGGTGAGTTATTTATGTATAAAATGGGATAAGACATAAGTACCTTCTAGACTATGACCGAAATCTCAGAGACACACACCTAAACTTAAATAGGGTTGTATTATCCCGTAGTTAAATAGAACCCTTGTTAAATTTAGGGTTCTATTTAACTATTTTATCATTTTTGTAATTATCTTTTACGTGATTAATAATGTACGTATAAAATTTAAATTAATTTTGTACTTTTATACCTGATAACATGCACCGCATCCTAGACCGTCGCGATAAAGATCAGATGCAGCCGATACATCTCCACCGTTGATTGTTGCTCCAAAAGTACCAAATCCACATGCGCCAGCTGCATATATTTAAACAGAATAATAAATTATTAAATTTGTCAAAATTTAAAACACAAGTTACTTGTGGAGATAAATTTATAAAATGTTACTTGTAAAATTTATTTTCTCTATTTCTATCAGAAAAATTATTTTCCCAATTTTTGAAGGAATTCATCATCCTAAAAAAAATACTTTTCAGAATATTCTGACCAACGAAAAATACTTTTCTTTTTATGAAGATATTCTTACTTTCTGTTCCTTTTTCTTCTGAATTTGGATAATAAGCTGCTCGAGATTGGATGAAATTTTGAGCATTTCCCAAATGAACTTGTATGAAAATTATTAATAAAAATGTGGAAAATATTTCAAGAACTTGAAGAGGTGCCATTTGAGAAAGAGAGTTACAAATAAGTTACTGTAATTTGTAAGGAATAAAATTAAGTTGTTGTGAATGATATTGTTGATGACATTTAATGAGTATTTATAGTAAGGTTTAGTTTAAAATTGGTCAAAAAGTAATTGAGACATTTGACAATTTTTAGATCAATTTGAATACATTCATGAGTTCTTTGCTTCAACTTTGGGTAGCTACGTGCCTTCTTAGATAGCTAGCTAGTTTCTAAACTTTGAATGAATATAGATATATGGTATTATGCTCCGATTTCTACTTTAATTTATGTGAAGATATCAAAAAAAAATATGAAAGTTGTGATATAATAGCATGTTAGGTTAATATGTCAAAATTGACTTATTTTTAAAATTCATGTTTTTCATCGAAGGTGTTTTTTGAAAAATACGTAAATTATTTTGAGAATTAATAAATTGTGTTTGATCAATATTTTTTTTAAGTGTTTTTAATTGTTAAATTACTAAAACAAAAGTTACTGCTAATTTTAATTTGATAAATATGAACTTTTGAAATTGGTTAATCGTATCCTAAGAAAATTAGAAGAAACATTTTATTTTTGGAAGAAGCTATTTTTTCGGCGTTTACGAAAAAATAACTTCTACTAATAACATGTTTTATTAAAAGCTCAGTCAGACACTTTTATTCTCTAAAATAAGTCTTTATATTTAATATACATATTCTTGTCTTTTAGAAATTTGGCTAAACATGTTATTCTATAAAGTAAGTCATAGATTATACTTTAAACTTGATATTGTTTTATCCCATTTGAAAAGTGAAATAAATTAATCTCAAAACTATTATTCCTAGTAAATAAATTAATCCCAGGATTTCTATGGTCATATGTGGTTGTGGGTAGAATTAATTTAATGCATATTATATAAAAATGTCATTTAACTTGGTGTTAATTGAAATTTATGTTCTTCGACTTTGAGTGTGCACAAGTACACACTTAAACTTATATATATATATATATAATTTAACAAGTAGACTTACACGTTCTATGTGGTGTCCTAAATGATAATTTGCAATTCTATATGGCATATTACGTGTATTGTGTTACGTAGAACGTGTGTATCTACTTATTCAACTTTATACAAGTTTAACTGATTACTTGTGTACATTCAAAATTGGAGGACTTAGATACTAACTGAGACCAATTTAAAAAATTACAATTGTATGTTGTGCCTTTATTTAATTACTATTGTATGAGATTTACTGTTTGGTATGAAGCCATATAAGATTCCTCCTGTATTTTGGAAGACAAATTTAAACAAGAATTTTCTTCTAGTAGAAGTAAATTGGAGGATGAGTTAGGTATTTGTGCATTATATATAGAGAGAGAACTGTATATAATTAGGACAATATACATGCATGTATCATTTTGTTTTACCAACTTTGCAGCCTTAAGAATATAAGAAGTTATCTCTTTAATTATTTCACCAACTTTGCGGTCAGGAACGGAGCTAGAGTATTAGGTACAAAGTTCAAACAAATTAATTTGTTAAATATGTGTATGCAAATATATAATTGCAAACTTAGTACTTGTGAAATAGAGCTACTATGATCTTGATGACCATGTTTAAAATCTAAAAGTTTGAAATTTCGACTCCACATCCTTTGCTTATAGTGTAAGGGTGTGGAATTTTGGAGCAAATGGTAGTAAGTTGTCACAATTTTCCTAATTACGAACTCGATTGGTAACTAAAACGATTTATTAGTTTGATGACAAATTTAGAATTTAATTTCAAATTCTGATTCTTGCCTATGTTTGCATTCTAAACCAAAATAAGAAATTCGAAAAATTTATCAGTCTAAAAGTAAAATCTTATGGCAGGTGATAGTAAATTGTTGCATTCCTAATTATGAACTCCATAACTAAAATAATCTACTAACTAATGACAAGTTCAAAATCATAAATGTAACCTTTGACTTTTGTCTCCATCTGCGGCCTAAATCAAAAGATTAAATTTCTAAAGATTTGTATCTCTTGAACTTTTTGAAATATACCTTCAAACATACTTTGACCCATTTTTTTTAAATTTAATTAAAAAAGGACACACAACTTTTTTCTTGCACCCAGTAAGTCAATTTTCATATCCTATCTCTGAGACTGCACAACCATTAAATTTTGTTTTGTCAAATAATTGTCTCCACTTTGTTTCATATTCCCTCTGACTCTAATTACTTGTCTACTTTTAAATTGACACACCTATTAAGAAAATAATTAATGACATAGCGAGTTCATCATTTTACCCTATTAATTATGAAGTGGATGAAAAGTTTTATATTTTTCAAAGTAATTAGTTATTTAACTGAGGGTATAATAGGTAAAAAAAATTATCCTTTCTTGATTTGTCAAAATGGACAAATAATTAGGGACAGAGGAAGTATATTGCAACAATGAAAATAAATAATAATTTATAATAATATAAGTAGTTTATAGACTTCAATAGTGAAAACTAGACACATAATTACCACATCAGCCATGACATGGAAACCACTCAAGATTTTGGACCCTACCATGGTCTGCTTTGATTTCATTTTAGACGCTTGTATCGAATTATTTTAATTTGATGCGTTCAGTTTTTAAATATTTTATAATTAAATTAATAGCATATCATTCTTTTTTATCATGTTTAGAATATTTTTCTAGTTTTGATAATATATTAAATTTGTAATGTTAAATTAGTGTATTTGATGTAATATTCACCTATCGTTTAAAATTCTAGATTCCACGATCAACATCTGATTACTTTTAATAATTTAGATGTATTAACATTTTAAGAGAATAAATTTGGACCTCCCATTATAGAAGAAGGGCATAAGTAGATAATTTTACATTATGCCAAGATAATCCATAATTGTCAATGTTATTAAGGACTTTAATTTCTAACTATATCTAAACATTATTACAATGTTTAGATAGAATAGGTGGAACTAAGAATGGTGGGGATTTTGATGACTAGTTTTTCCCAAATTATTACTATTATTTCGTGAGTTTTACACTTAAAATATTGTGTGGTTATAAATTTTCATGAATCATGTGTTGGTAATCTTAGAGAATTCATGTACGAATCCTAGAATTTCAAGGGACTTAACTCCGTTGCAACCTATGTTATGAGAATTTTGCCAATGATTATCATGTGGGAGCTTTGGAGATCGAGATGTAGCTCAAAATATGAACATGGGCACCTTTCAATTTTCAGATCCACCTTTGTGATGATATCTTTCACCATTTGCCAGCTAACCAGGCCAGCCTTTACAAACTTGTTTATTCCAAATAATTGGAGAAGCTTACTCACAATACTGGACACCAACCTCTAAGAAACTACTGTTATTCCAGTCAAATGGATCATGCCCCACTCTAATTTGTGAAAATGAACTCAGATTGATCATGTGTTGGTAATTCATGTGGTGGCGGGGGAGTAATCAGGAACTCACTAGGCAAATTCATCACGACCTTCATTCTCCCATTGGGCCAAGGCGCCAACAACTTAGTCGAAGCCTCTTCCTTATGAAAAAGAAAGAGAATAATAAGTCAAAATTTCCAAAATTATCATTATTAGGTGAATGTCATTCCCAAATTACATAACTCTTTGAACTACCCTGAATTCATTGTGATAGATGGATACATTTTAAACACTTCACTCATTATCTATATTCGCAACAAGTTATTCTAAATATTTTGCAATATTTTCAACTATAAAAAATTTAATCTAAATAAAGTTATATAACATCGCAAAGTAATTAAAAACACTTGATAATTTATGTGTGAAACTCACAAAACAATATGTAATACTTTAATTCTTTTTTAAAATTTATCCGCTAAAAAAAACAAAAGAAGTCACTAAAACCCATTTTCTCAAGGACCCAAACGCAGTCTATCTAAAACCCATAGTACGACACCGTAAATGACCACCGGAACCCATCTCCTCCGCTTACTCGTCTCCTGCCGGAAAATCACGGCACAGGTGACAACCAGCAGCACCGACACCATCGTAGCTATGGCTTCATCAGCTGAGCAAGAGTTCGCAGCGCAGTGTAGAGCCAATCTCAACCGAGTGCCTAGGTGCCGCAATCTCTGGGACACGAAGATGGCTTCTAGAGTCGGAGATAAGCTCGGAGATCGGCTCAGTGAAGTTGGAGTCCACAACGTGGAAATCGACGTTGAAGAGGAGCTCAATAGGCCGGTGCACTACCGGCAAATGGTGGCGCCGCTTTTTGAGTCCGTCAAGCGCAAGGGCATTGCCGTCGTTGGAGCTGACAAATTGGTTTTCTAGTCAAATTTTGGTATCCTTTTTATTCTCATTCTAATCCTGTAGGCTGTAACAAAAACAAAAAAAATATTATTATGCATTCATAGATAAGCTGATTCAGAATTTGAAGTTTATAGATTTTTACCGCAATCTCAAATGATTATACGTTGATAATTGGATTTAGAATCAAATAATTTATAGATATTTAGTGAATTTTCAATTATATTTACTGTGTATAGACAAAAAAAAAAGGGTTCTGGTGTTAGGATATACTATTAACCATGCGTTTTGATATAGTATTATTATTGAACAATTGTTTATTCATAATACTATATCAAAACGCATGGTTAATAGTATATCCTAACACCAGAACCCTTTTTTTTTTGTCTATACACAGTAAATATAATTGAAAATTCACTAAATATCTATAAATTATTTGATTCTAAATCCAATTATCAACGTATAATCATTTGAGATTGCGGTAAAAATCTATAAACTTCAAATTCTGAATCAGCTTATCTATGAATGCATAATAATATTTTTTTTGTTTTTGTTACAGCCTACAGGATTAGAATGAGAATAAAAAGGATACCAAAATTTGACTAGAAAACCAATTTGTCAGCTCCAACGACGGCAATGCCCTTGCGCTTGACGGACTCAAAAAGCGGCGCCACCATTTGCCGGTAGTGCACCGGCCTATTGAGCTCCTCTTCAACGTCGATTTCCACGTTGTGGACTCCAACTTCACTGAGCCGATCTCCGAGCTTATCTCCGACTCTAGAAGCCATCTTCGTGTCCCAGAGATTGCGGCACCTAGGCACTCGGTTGAGATTGGCTCTACACTGCGCTGCGAACTCTTGCTCAGCTGATGAAGCCATAGCTACGATGGTGTCGGTGCTGCTGGTTGTCACCTGTGTGCTGTCCAGTGTTCTCGTCCAG